GTCAAGCTATATCACATCTACTGCTTCCCGTGTCCAAAAGTCTTGTTACTCTATCAAAGGAGGATTTTAGGTTGGTTTGAGGTGATTTCTTGACAAATCCATGTTGACTGTTTCTTCTTATTTTATTATCTTCTGGGTGCTTACAAACTGATTATTTGTTCCACTATCTTTCTGAGTACCGAAGTTAAGCTGTCCAGTCTATAATTTCCTGGGTTGTCCTTATTCCCCTTTTTATACATAGATACTTTATTTGCCTTTTTCCAGCCCTCTGGGATCTCTCCCGTCCTCCACGAGTTCTCAAAGATAATTGCTAATGATTGAGAGATCTCTTTGGCCAGTTCCTTCAGTAGTCCATAATGTGTTTCATCAGGCCCTGCCTCCTTGAAGACATCTAACTTGTCTAAGTAATTCTTTCCCTTTTTCAGCCTCAGATCCTACCTCATTTACACTGTTCAGTTTGTTAGTTGTCCAGTCACTGCTAACCTTTTTGGTGAAAACAAAAACAGGCATTTAATACTCAGACCACTGCTGCATTTTCAGTTATTGTCTTTCCCTTCACATAAAGTAAATGGGCCTACCCTACCCTTAGCCTTCCTCTTGGTTCTAATGTATTTGTAAAATGATTTCTTGTTACACTTTGTCCATAGTTAATTTAATCTCATTTTGCACCTTGACCTTTCTAATTTTGTCCCTACATGCTTGTGGTGTTTTTTATATTCATTCTTAGTAATTTGACTTCGTTTTCACTTTTATATGACTCATTTCTGGTTTCAGGTTGTTGTAGATCTCTGGATTAAATCAGGAGTTTAATGATAATTGAGTCTAATATGATGGAATCTAATAGACTGTGCTAGAGATCTTTCTTTGAATACCTGTAGGATTATAGGGATTATCTTGTGATAGAGGGAGCCCTATTAATGAAAGGAAAATGAGATTAATATAAACTGTCACTTAGAAATAAGGCACGCATTTTTAACCATGAGAATAATTAACTATTAGAACAATTTACTGAGAATTGTGGTGGATTCTCCGTCAGTGACCACTTTACATCAAGATTGGATGTTATTCTAAAAGATGCACTCTAGGAATTATTTTGAGGAAATTCTCTGGGCCTTTGTTTTATACAAGGGGTCACACTAGATGATCACAATGATCTCTTCTGGCCTTTGTATCTATGATTCCATGGAGAATATTTGAAAGGGTGATCAAACCTTCTTGTTTCCTCACCCTGAAAATTCAGTTTTGTAAAAAAAAAAGTTACTATACTATACTATTTCTTCTATAAACTTGTTGTTTTTTTGCGGTTTTTTTCACGTGCTGGTCCTTATGTCTGTTCAATAAATGGGTACACATGTGCATCATACACCTATAACTGAAAAATCTTGCAAGTCGTATCTGTTTGTTTGAGCCAGCATCGTGGATTGTCTCATGCTAAGCACCCATGCAATCCTCTGCTTTTGAGTCCAGTGCTTCTGAGGGATATTTTCAGCCCAGAAGAGGATGTTATCTCAAGGAGGAATTAAATCCCTTCTCTGACCACACACCAAAGCTTCCTTCCACTGGCACTGCAGGACCTCCAGTGGAAACTGACCCTGCCCTTTTATCAGCTGAATCTGATGTCCTGGATGAACCCCCAGAGAGGTTAGCCCAGACAGGGCTTCAGTTGTTTTGATGGATCCCATCCTCAGCCCAAGCAGGATTATTCTCCAAAGGACCGCTGGTATCCTGCTTTGGGGGGCCCTTCCCCGCCCCCACCCCAACCAGCTTTTGTGACCCTTCATGCTGGCCCTATTGGGGATCATGGGATCCTTTTGCCCAACACCCTGGACCTGTACACTCTACCAGAGAATTACTCTCCTCAGCAACAGCAACTGGCTGTGCAGGACTGTGTGGAAGAGGAAGATGACAAGCTGGATACGCCAGTACTGGACGTACCAACAGGAGTAATCTTCCTCACCCAATGAGGCAATTATTCAGTCTTCACCATCCCCACCTGATGACCATAAACAATACCAATAATTGTTGCAGAGGATGGTGACAATACTTCAGATCCCATTATAAGTTCAGGATATAAGCACTTGGATACCCTGCAGCCTATAGGACCCAGTCAAGTAGCTCTCCTAGTGAATGAAACCATTATAGAACCAGCTAGAGCATATGGCCTACACAGGCAACATGTACCTTATTCCCCTAAAAGAGCTAAGAAACATTACTTTGTGTCAGCAAAAGGGACAGAATACTTGTTCACCCATCCTGCCCCAAAGTCCCAGGTAGTACAGGCAGCCATGGAAAGATCCAGGCAGCAACACACTAAAACCATTCCTGTGGACAACAGAGCGAAACAACTGGACCATCTCATGTCCACAGGGTTGGTTTTTGGGTGTTGCTGCTTGGGTCTTTCCATGGTTGCTTGTACTACTAGGGACTTTGGGCAGGATGGAACATTCTGGAATTCAGAATCTCTAACTACAAGGCCCTGTTAGCGACATATGACTTTATGAACTACTCACAAGACAAAGCTCCCCCAGGAGGAAAGGGCCCAATTCCAAACCCTTGTTGAGGAAGGTAGAATTGTGGCTAAAACTTCTTTGCAAACTGCAGTTGGTGCGGCCAGTACCCCATCAAGATGTACAGTGACCACTATAGTAATGTGGTGATAGTTGTGGCTTCATCTTCAGGTTTCTCCGGACACGTTCAGAGGTCCAGTGAGGACTTACCTTTTGATTAAACCAATATCTTTAGGGAGAAAACAGATGGGTTTTTGCACTCACTAAAAGACTCTAGGACAGCTCTCTGCTCCCTGGGCATGTATATCCCAGCCATGAAAAGGAAGTGTCATTAACAAGTGTATGAGCCAACACCCTTCTGCAGTCTACCACCGAAGACCATAAAAATCACCACACAAGCATTAGAGCATGCGGAGTCCAACATATGCAGTCCCATCCACCAAAGGCAGATTAGCGTTTGTGGGGCCTTGGACTAGAGGAAGTGGGGAGCCCTCCCCACCCCTTCTGCCTGCAGTTCTCCCCTCTTCCCCTGCCCCACGCTCCTGCTAGGGAAAAGAGGTTGGGGCATGGGGGCTTTTCCTGCTCCCCCCCCCCCCCCACCCCCCCGTCTGCCCGGCATTTCTGCCAGGGAGCCGGAGAAGTCCCAGCACCCTGACCCTGCTCCCCGGCAGGAGCACTGAGCGGTCAGAGTGCAGGGGCACTCCAATTGGCCGGGGCCCTTGGGCATGGGCCCCATTGGTCCAGTGGCTAATGTGCCACTACCATCCACCTTGACAACAGCCATCCAACCTCATCCACCAGCCAAAGGTTACTTTTGATGGGTTGCTTTGAGTTGCGACCTTTAACAATGATGCCATCTCCAACCTGTTTCCAAAGTCTGTTTTGGTGGCCACCTTGCATACTCTGGGCACAATTGGAGGGCTATAACAATGGACAAGTGGATACTAGACATCATCCACTTCGGTTATACCATAAGTGTCTTTCCCTGCCTTCTTCAAAACACCCTTCCCAGCCCCTCTTCAAGGACCACTGTTACAAGGAGCAACTCTAATAGAAGGTGGACTCTCTTCTGGTTCAGGAAGATATAGAGCAAGTGCCACCTCAGCATCAAGAGAAAGGGTTTACTCAACTATTTCATAGATCCAAAGAAAAAGGGAGAATGGAAGCCCATTTTTAACCTATGTCAGCTATTTATTTATTTTTGCAAATGAAAATTCTTCATGGTTATGCTGGTATCAATAATTCCCTCCTTGGAGGAAGTCAAGTGGTTTGCAGCCCTCCAATGTGAAAGGTGTTTTCACCCATCCCACAGACAGTTGTTCAGTTTTCTGGTAGGACAGGAACATTACCAGTTCAGAGTACTTCTGTTTGGGCTGGCAGCAGTACCCAAGAACTTCATGAAGGTCTTTTCAGTGGTCGTAGCACAAATGAGATAAAATGACTATACCATCTTCCTGTACTTGGACAAGTGGCTTCTAACGGGCAGATCGTATTTGGAAGGTGTCGGCAACCTTGTCCTTGCGCCACTTCTTGGCATACTTGGGAACATGCCTAAACATGGGGAAGTCTACTCTGACTCCCAAATATCTCATAAACTTTATAGGGGCACCCCTGGACTTGACCACAGTGAGGGCCTACCTCCCAGCAGACAGATTCCATACCAAGAGCAGTCTGATAAAAACAAGTCACTCGTAAACCCTGAACACCAGTCTAGGTCCATCTTTTTCTGCTAAGCCACATGGCCTCCTGTACTTACATAATTCTGTTCACCAGGCTACATCTCCATTGTCTGCAAGCCTGGCTCAGGGCAAGATATACATCAGACAGACATAGCATAAATGCTGTAGCAACAATCTCCATCAACATCAGTGCTTCACTTACCTTTTGGACAAACCTGAAATACATGTATTGGAGTCCCTTTTCTGCCTCCCACACCCAGCGTGACAATAATCACAGATGCATTCCTCATAGGTTGGGGAGCCCACATAAGCAGTCATAAAATATGTGGACACCTCGGAAGGCCAGGATGCATATCAATCTCTTGGAACTAATGTCAGTCAGACAGGCCTGCAATGCATTCCTACCATTCATACGATCCCAATGTGCCTAGATAACGTCAGACAACATGATGCCATATAAACAATCAAGGTGGGGCAAGATCCGCTGGCCCCAGGTACTTGGTGCACCTGCGTACCCACATGTGGAACACAGATAGGGACCATCCATCTCACAGAACCTCCTTTTATAGTTAGTCACCTCCATTTTTGCTTTCCCCATAAATATATAATTATGCCAATATATGCACTCTGCAAAAGTAAAAATACAAGAATTTTAAGTATATTTATCTAGTTCTGCAATTTCAGATCTTTCCCAAGGACACTATGACAAAAGGGTTCTCATTTAGCTGCAGTGTAATTGGATTTGGCAGACTAACAGTAAAATTGACAGAAGATTAATTTTCTTTAACTTAATTTTTTTCTCTCATGAATTCAGGCATTGGAACAACATTGCAGAGTAGATGGTGGCTATTCTGGAATTAGAGATGTTTATAGCAACCATCAAAGCCATGATGATGTGCAGCAGAGTTTCTTCCTTTCAGAGACCCTCAAGTAAGTTAGTAAGGAGACTTAATTTATATTAATGAACCTCTACAGATTTTCTTTACAGATGAGTACTTAACATTAGTAGTCTTGACATTCAGGTAATGTAAAATCTGACTGGAACAGTATGCAGCTTTTGTTACATGGCAGGCGGATAGATTGCATTTTTATTTATAAACTGAATTCTGTGACTTTTGGAAATATCTTTACCTCGGTTAAAGACACTTGATATTTATTGTTAAGAAATTACATCTCACAGTTTTGATAGGTTCTAGTTATACATGCCAATACCAGTACCACTGTTTTACCAGACAAGATGGTGAGATTGTCCTCTTGTACTGAATACTTTCATGTCAACTATGGAGCAGAAAAAAAGGAACTAACTTTTATGGTAAATTCACACAGACTTGATAAGAGAACAAAAAAGGGGCCCTCATTCGCTCCTCAGCTTTTAATGAAAGAAAGGAAATCTTGCATCAATCTTTTTTTCCCCATTTCTTTCTATTCTTTGCAACCCAGCCTTGTATAATAACAATGTAATCCTGCAGTTTCTACTGACAGTGTATTTCCCTAGTGGGTTTTTAATTTTGTGTCTATACATGTGGGATTTTTTTAAGAGCATAGTGTACAATCTAGTATTCTGTCTCCATAATACAGTCCTTTAAGACAGCCATGTGAGGATTTTGACCAAACAAACTTGTTATGGCTTCTTGGAGATTTTGCTCTCAACTATCGTTGAGCCCACTGGGTTTCTGATTATATTAGTTTGAATAACCCGTCTGAAACCATGCTCCAAAACACACTTTTGTGAAAGAGTTAAAAAAAAACAAAACACTTACCAGTCAAACAGCCTTTTCGATAGTTTTATGCAAAGGGAGGACTGAAGAGACAAGTTTTTTCTGAAGCCTAGCATCTCCCACAGTTTTCCTTCAGATGGGCTATTCCCATTCTGTCTGCTCTTTCTGAAGGCAGTTGAAAGCTGTAGCACAGCCTGTGCTAGCCACGCTCCTTTCTCCAGCCTGCTGTCAGATCATCTGCCTCCACCACAGCAATGAGTGGATGTTCCCTTTGTTTCTGAACTTTCCTTTGCCTTCTTATTTTTACTTTGTTTTGTTTTCAGGCTGTATCGAGCACCCTTCTTTGTTCTTTCCTCTGCTCCTCCTCTTAAAGCGGGTATTTAGCGGCACATGGCTGAAGCCATCTGGAGTAGTCCTCCCTTTCAGGGATGGTACAGCAGCCACATAAGCACTGGACTAAGCCTAAAAGGTGCACCATTTGTGAGGCAGCTTTAACAGGCTTTACAGAGGGCAAGTTATGCCCTGCCTGTTCTCAGCCAGCCAGCCCTAGCACTGCTAGGATACAGAACTTTGAGTCAGACAGCCATGTTGGTACCCCATCTCCTCAAGAAACCCTGACTCCCCCACAGAAATGCCTGAACAGAGGAGACAGAGCAGAATAGGGGGAGGTCGTAAGGATGAGGGAGGACTTAATTCAGATGCCCAAGTGGATAAGTCCTGGGGCAATTCAGGACCATAAGAATAAGACACTAGTAGGGCTACAGTCCTACCCCAAGTCCTGAAATGGGTCCTAAATGCTCTGGGGGTAGAAGCAGGTTCACAATCAGCCCCACCTTCCTCTCAGCTTGATTCAGAAAAATAGCAGTGAATTCCCATCCCCCAACCTGCTGGAGTGGGAGTCTACATGGGAGGACTCCAAGAGAGAAATTTCTAGAGGACTCATGACCCTGCACAAGGCTAGCCACAAAAGACCCCATCCAGGGCACAGTCCACTGGCCTGCAAAGCACATAAAAAAAATATTAAAATATCCAAAAGAAATTTTAGCGGGTAAGAAAAAATACAAAAAACCAAATAGGTATTCGTCCTCTGACCCAGACACCGCCTCCTCTACCAAGGAAGGAGATCTATTATCAGACTCTGATTATGAGCAGGACACAAACAAAATGCAACCAAGTTTTCAAGCCCCCTTGAGAAGCTCGAAGCCGTGTGCAAAAAGATTGTATCCATGATTCAGTTTCAGCCTGAGCATGCCCTCAAGACTTGGAGCAAATACCTCCCTTCTAAATATTGTCCTTAGGCAGCGATTCCCCTGCATGCATCCTTTGAGGAAGTAATCTGGGGGAGAGGGAATCTCCTGGAAAGAGTAAATATGTTAACAGCCATGTTCTCAACTTCTACAAGCTTCAAGATCCAAAAGAATGCTCTCATAAATGTACCTAAGGTTGATGATGCCATAGCTTCTCTACCAAAGGATATGGTTATTCCATCCAAAGGGGACTTAGTCCCCAAGAATGCAACAAATAGGAAGGTGGAAGCCACCCTGAGAGCAGTGTCATGGCTGGAGGACCTTAAAGCCCTTACAGGCAGAGATCAACCCAACTTTACATCTATACAACATCATTCATGGCAGATACTTCAAAGGATGCTATGAGGTTTTCTGCCAGGGCCATGGCATCCAGCTCAGTACCCAGGAGACACATATGACTTCCTACCTGAAAGGTAGATACTCACTCCAAACAAGTCCTGTGCTCATCTAAATTCACAGGATTTTTTCCTCTTTGGAGAAAAATTGGACAAAATAGTGGCTGAAAATGCTGCCAAACTTACAGTTCCTTACCGTCTCCAATTAGTGCTCTAAGAGGGGACTACAAACCTTCTATCAGACAGAGATGCTCCTTTTCATCCATCTTCCTCTCAGAGGTTCCAGAGGAAAGATAACACATGTCAAGGGAAAAGCCTTCGATGGAATGGAAAGCGAATGGAAAACCTAGAGATGCTCCCGCAACCTCCTGGGGCTCATTATGGCAATCAGCATGTGTCTCCTCCCAGACCTGAGCTTGGGAGACAGGGTTTCCCACTTTCTAAATTAATAGCTTGTTTCTACCGCAGATAAGTGGATGTAAGAGACAAAGTGCACCAGGGGTGCTCCCTCAAGCTACGGGCTCCACCTTATCTCTCCCTCATCCAGTTGTCATATCATCAATGTCTTGGAGCTTCGAGCGGACAAACTAGCTATTCTGAGATTCCAGAGCCATTTGGAAGGGAAGCATATCCTGGTCCAACCCCATAGTTGCATACATAAACAACCAAGGAGAGAAGAAACGTAGCTCTACATTCAGAGGCAATGGAAATAATGGAATGGGCAGAAAAGACACTCCCTTCCCTAAAGGCAATCCACATAAATGGGGAGCTGAGCCAAAAGGTAGACTGGCCATCACAATGTCAATAACCCAGAATGGTGCCTACACCAGGAAGTCTACAATCTGACGGCACAGACTTTCGGTCTTCCTTCAGTCATCCTGATTGCCAGTCATAAGAATGCAAAGTGACCAAAATACTTGACCAGGAAAGCAGACCCCTATCTGTGGGGACAGATGCTGTGTCACACAGATGGCCTCAAGGCCTGCTGTATGCATATTCCACCCTTCCGTCTCATAGGGAAAGTGATCCAAAAAATAAGATTAGAAGAAGCAAGGGTGATCATGCTAGCACACTGGCTCAGGAGACCCTGGTTCTCCAGACTGAGAACTGAAGCTGAAACCACCATTGCAGCTACTGGAGAGGCCAGACACTATTTATCAAGGATTGGTCCTCCATCCAGACCCAGATAGTCTCCATCTGACAGCTTGACTGTTGCAAGAGAAGTGTTAGCCACGCTTGGCCTATATTCCAAAGCGATAGAGACTCTGCTGTGTTCCAGGAAAGCTTCCTCACTAAAAGCCTATTCCTCCATCTGGACCAAAGTCAGTGTTTGGTGTCAAGCACAGAGGAAAATCAAAGAGATCCTGGGATTCCAGTTATTCTGGACGTTGTTCAAGAAGGAGTTGATAAGGGACTTCAGCCAAACACCACAACAGCCCAGGTGTCAGCCCTCAGTAGCTACTGTTTGCAGGATCCTTGGGCTCTCTGGCCAAAAACTTTCAGTTATCGGGTCCCTCAGAGTAGTTAAACTGTCCAGAGAACAGAACTGTGGGAGATGTTGTGCTGAAGATTGGAAATTTTCTTACCTGATCATTTCTTTTCTGCTGTTAGTGTCTCCCACAATTCTACCCAGCCTGGATGGGTTTCCAGATGTGGGTCGACATTTTATTTGAATAGTTACAGTATAAGCAAGGACTCACTGCACCTAGTTACTTTGTTGGCATTGGAATGACTTTTATTAATTATTTTCTACAAGTTTTTACACAGCTTTGGAATGAATCCTCTGGCAGCAGGCTGGAGAAAGGGGCGTGGCTAGCACAGGCTGTGCTAAAGCTTTGAACTGCCTCCAGAAACTGCAGACAGGAAGGGCAGAAATTTTTCATTTTATTAGAAGGCAATTGAAATCCGAATGTACCAAAGCTATTCTAATATGTTTTATAACATTTTTAATCTTTTTGTTTACTTAAACGGTGGCACTTATTCATTTAACTAGGTACTTTAAAATGAGACAGCATATCTGACAGCTTACAAGTATTCTGATTTCCATTGCCTTCTAAAGGGAAGGCTGATCCTTTTAGTCCTTTATAGCCTTGGGAGCCTTGTGTACACTGTTCCTGTCACCAGGGAAGTTCCACCTGTGTTAGCAACATTCGGAAACCTTTTCAGACAAACCCTAGTGTAGACAGCCAATGTGGCAACCTCAGCTGAAAGTGCCAACTGCACTGTGCACTGAATGACAAAGGTAAAGAAAGATACAAGGGGTTCTAAAAACTATTTTGATTATATTTTGCTATAAAACTTTGTAATTTGAAAAATGTAAAGTACTTTAAAAGGTTAAGTATAGTGGTAAGAATTAAAAGGTCAGCATTTGCCAACACTTCCCATGCAGTGGTATTTGAGTGTACAATTTATATATATACTACAGTATCTCCAAGATCTCTGTGTATAACAGTGAGTAAGTGTTGTTGCTTTTAATGGTGATTATTATTAGTATTAATATAGTCCTATTTAGTAAACGTATCCACGGTATTGTTCCAATTCCTGTTTTTAATCTAAATATCATACCTTGAACCAAATCATGCTCTTATGAGTAAGGCAAACAGGATTTGTGATGCAGTACATACACTCAGTTTTCTTTTGATGCATGTGGTCATTTATAAAAGCTTGTCATGACTGTATATTGCTGTAATAATATGTAACCAAAAAGAATGAAACAGAAAAAGAAGTGCTGTTTAACTTCAAGAACCTAGACTTTATATCTTTTTTGTTTATCATAACAGAAATTTTTACATCACCACCTGCTACTGTCAAGCAGTGAAGCCAATTTTAATTAAGTAGTCTCAATGCTTGGTGCCAAAACGTTAGTAACTGTCACTGGTTGATAATGTTTTACTTTAGATCTGCTACCTAATATTTCCATCAATAGAAGTGGGGAGTTAATATTTATCCATGAAAATGAATTAGTTCCATCTTTCTCTTCTTTAAACCTTAGGTTATTTCATGGTGCTCTCATGTTACCTGTTTTCTCTTGCCAGGTACTTATACTTACTGTTTTCTGACGATGATCTTCTTCCTTTTGAACATTGGATCTTCAACACTGAGGCTCACCCTCTACCAGTTCTTCACAGAGATGATGGGAAGAAGGAAGAAAAACACAAATAAAACAATGTTAAGTTAATTTTTGTTTCATTCCTTAGAAATTTCTTTCCAATATTGGGCACACGATGCAGTTTTACTTAAATTCCTGAGTTTTAAGCCAACCTTTTTGCAGTCTGTTATATTTGCCAGTAAAGATTTATGAATGGACCTAAATTCATTACAGCAAAACTTTTAATCTTATTTTTCCAGCTGAACCACTTTTTTTTTTAAGAAATCTGACGTCTCTAGACTTCATTAAGCTGCAGTGTCATCTTTGCCAAATAGAAGAGAGGGGTCTGCATGTGACTTGTTTCCTATTTCACTTTTGTTTTGACTGCAAAATTCTTTCCTCCTCTGTGAGGAGATGTCTGCTTTAAGCTGTAATATTTTGCCATGTTGCAAAAAGCCATAAAGAATTAAGTATAAAGAGCTTTTTTTGTTGTTCTATGTTAATTTTGTTTTGTCTGTCTGTCACCTGAGACAAATCTTGTAACTGTGTGACAGCCTCTTCTTATGCGGGTCTATCAATTGGTAAAATATCTTCTGAAGTTTTTAATTATCAGTGAGGTCTACATAGGAATAGTTTAATCTGATGCAGACACAATTCTGTTTAAAACTGCAGTATACTTTGAATTGAACCTAAACATTTTTACAAATCCATTACATTAGTTGGACAGATCCTAGTTTTTATTAAAACTCACATTTTTGTTTTTGTTTTGTTTAGAATATCACTGCAAACTGAATTGTTTCTTCCATTTTCTAGCTAGAGTTACTATCACTTCTATAATCAGTTTGGTAAGAGCAAAATAAACAATTTGAAAAACTGGCATTATTGAATTATTAAAAAGGGAATCATATCTTGTTTATAGGTATTTACGTAATCTGTTAGCTTTTTCGTTTGACTGGATGTGTGAGATAAATAAGATGTTATGAAATCCTTTCTAAAGGCTACAAATTATTCTAATCAGAGAAGGGGAGATGATTTTTTAATCTGTTGTGATCTTATTTTTCAACAATTCCATTTGGTTTAGATTGTAACCTAAGACAGTCAGGTGGAACAAAGTAGTATAAAAAGATTATCAGAACAGGAGTTCTGAATAGCTCAAAGGAAACTTGTCTTTATTAAAAAAAAAAAAAAAAAAAGTATTGTTTGCATTGGAAGATGGAAATTGACCAGCAGAGAATTAGTACATTTTGGTAGCCCAGAACTCTTTCTTCCAAGGATGACCAAAGTTATAGAAATATAACCTGTTTAAAAGTATTCTTCAGACATAAGACCTTGATTACCAAGAAAAGCTACTTTTAATGGAGTCACCAAAGGGAAAAATCAGGCACAATTCCTTTTCTATTGAGATGCATTTTGGAATAGTTTAAATGAATAATTCATATAGATATTAGGAACTTAACTTTTGCAGGCAGGGTGACTGTACTGTATGTTCAGAGTAGGATGTGACCACTGGCTTCCCAGCATGCAAAAGCACACTATTAGATGATGTGACTGCAAAGAAGCCAACATGGTTCAGAACAGTAATTCTCAATTTTCTTTTAAATAAGTGCATATGATGACTCAAATGTCCTGCTTAGTTATTTAGGCACTATGGTTCCACAACTGTAATTAGGTATAGATCTTCTTTCACAAAAGAACAAGAACCCTTTTTTTCCCCTTAATGCTGGAAGTGCTGCAACATAGGGCTTTTTCCGGTAAAAATTAGGAACAAAGGAAACTTATTACCATCATGTCCTGCATTTTGGATAAATCCATATCCCCTCCTCTGCAGATGCAAAGGGCCATTTACAGCCACACATGTGTTGTTCCGCTGGTACAGAAAAGGGTGTATATCCCACGCAATCTGCCTGGGTGGAGGCAAGGCTGGAGGATCCACTAGTAGGCTAATCCTCCCCCTTTGGGGTTTGGCGAGAACATAAAGCCTTTGTAAGGCAATGCATCATTAGGCTGAGCCTGCAGAGAGGACCTGCTGGGGGCTACACAACCTGGGTGTGGAGGGAGATTCCTGTGCCACACACACACTTGCCCGGTGCCCTGCCTGGCTACTCTTAATCAGTGCTCAGATCAGGATTTGAGCCTTCGTTATCCATATGTGTATTCATTAAAAAAAATATCCGTGACAAGGTATCCACATTTTTAGGTGCCTTGTATTCGATAATTTACCATGCTCCATTAAAATGCACGGTAAATCTCCCATTGACTTCAGTGGGCCAGGATTTGTATCGTTTGAGGATATTAACTATGTCATCCTTTTCATTATGAGATGCACCAATATAATACAAGGTGGTTTTAAAAGGAATACAAGTCCATCTAATTTTGGAGTACAACTAATTTTTTCACTTCCTTCCACTCCAAAAAAAAAAAAAAAAAGCAATATTGAATTTTTATCCAGTTACTCCATAAACATCTTGTGCTGCCTGCTGTGTAATTTTCGTGTGTGCGCTTCTGTGGGTCTCATTTCTTTTAGTCAGATGATAAAACCAATAAAATCAGAAAAACCGTATTTTGGAGACATGTGTTTTGTAAACCTGGTTTTTACATTTTCTTGATCAGGGTCTTCTACACCCTTAGTGATCTTGGGACAAATTGCGGGAAATTTATTGTACATACAAATTTCCCTTACTCCCAGCAAATAAAGGTAAAGAATGCAAAATGGTTGTATAAGTTGGGTTATAAGTGTTTAGATATTTAAATTTCATGTTGATTTCCCTGGAATACAGAAATTTTGAAGAGTGTAATTTTTTCTGGTTTGGGGGTTATGATTTGAAAGAGCACAAAGTTGATACGTGATTCTGTTGCTGACAACATATTTGGTATTCAGGTGTACGAACTGCACTGTATTGTACCTTTTGTAAACTATGTAAGTAGACAAGAAGATTGTACAACCTGTAGAGTTTGCCAACTGTAAGAATACCCTATTTTGTAAGTTCAGGAATATTGATTTTTTTTAAAAAAAGAACCCCAAAACACCAAAGTGTGAAATGTTCTAGTGATCACCATTTAATCAGTCCGCTTTTACCAACAGTTACCACACAGCTAAAATGGTATTTTCCTAGTATTTACAATATGAAATTAACTCTGTGGAAACTGATGATTTAAAGGCCACTGTATATGTAATTGATAATTCAGATGGAAGAGAAACTGCTGAATTTTGAAAAACTTTAAACAGTGTATCAAATATCTTTGTGAAAACATTGCCTAAACTCTCATTCCTTTTCAGCATATAACAGTTCAGTTAAGTTTACATGTTAAATTCTAAATGGTGAATAATTTAAATGGCACTTAAATTAAGTTGCAAAAACAACAGTTGTTTTGATTGTTTGTGGAATGAATATTGCATATGTTTGTTGTATGACAGTTCTACAATACCCAATGACTCACTGTTTCTATGGTGACTTCATCATATGTATTATCCATTTCTCTCCATTAAATTGTTTTTGATTTGTATATATTCCATTTAGTCTTTTCCACCTTTATATAAATCTCTGATGTAATGAGAGACATAACAGATCAAGATGCTTAATTTTTAAGAACTATATTTGTAAAAATTTCTCTATTGTGAATAAAGTCTTTTAATATATCTGTTCATTTTGTTAGTTTATTCTTTGTATTACTAAGTGGATGAAGGTCCTGATCTTACAAGAATTACAGTAAGTATTTCAGAGGCTTGTAAATAAGTGCAGAAGAAATGCAGTAATCTGCTTCATAGCCCTGGTTGGGACACTGTTCTGCTGAATTCTGATCAGTAGCTCTGATAAATGCAGAATACTGTTAATAACTTGCTAAGGTATTGTAATTAATCAAAGGGTACCAATTAATGTCTGTGAAATAGGGTATAGAATTGCTGCTATAACAAAAATCTGTGGACACTAAATCAGTCCTATTGAAGAAATATTTATTAGTAACAAAAAAAGGGCAAAAATGTGGTAACCAACAGAAAACAAAATGAAAAAAGATACAGGAAATTGGGTGGACAGAGATGACAGGGTAGTTGGGAATGATCTAAAAGAAGGTCAGTTCTGAGAATGATCAGAATATGCATGCTGTGGGGATCACAAGCAGACTTCAACTAGTTCCCACTTAGGAATACAGTAAACACTGCTTTTGAAATGACAAGGCTGTCAGATTGCCCAGTGTTATGTGATCATGTAATGAAAGGTTATCATTAGTGTATGTACTAGAGGATAGAGGGACAGTTGTCATGGGAACTGTGACTGCATTTTGCAGCTTTTGAGTGAGGGTGATTAAGATCTCAACCTTAATGTTGAATTAACAGATTTTTTGTTTAATATATTTTAGCTTATTTTCTTTTTAATAAAGAGCACCACAGTCAACTCCAAAAACATCTGGTAAGCGAAATAATTTTGATTTTTACAGGACATATTTCTAAATATCACTTTAAAACTAAGGGCTTCTTAATTTAGACACACTAGTCAATTTAAAAAAAAAAGTTATTTAAGATAATGCACCTGCCTCAAAATCCACTTGCCAATACATTGTTTTACATCCACATCTTTCTGTTTTTTAAAATGCATTTGTCTCCGTGTTGCTGTCTCACAGGACCACACAAATAGGAGGAGGAAACAACTAACTATGTACAAAGTGCTATTAAATGAAAAATATAATCTTTATCTAGTGGAAAGTCTAACCAAATGATTAAATACACTATTTTGAAAACATTTATTTTACAAATGTGGATTAAGCCATGTGCCAAGTTGCATTAGAGGAGCAGTGTCCGATGTTTGGTTTTGGAGGTGTTAAATGACTGTAGCAAATTGCCGGTATGAATATGATGGGTCCCGCGCTTCCTCTTCTTGGGGGTGAGGGGGGTTCAGAGCGCAGTTTCCTGCCCCTGAACTAGGGTATCTACTGTCCCACTGGTAACCCACAGAAGGGTAGTGGAGAGGGAGGGACCCGGGCCCACCCTCTACTCCGGGTCCCAGCCCACGGGCCCTAGGGATAGTGGTAAACCACTTGAACTAGTGCTTCCTTCCCCTGGGCTACTTCCCTCTCCTGCTCTTCAGCTTGTGGGGCTTCCTGCTCTCTCTCTCTCTCTCTGCACAAGCCGGGTGTCTCTTTACCTAGGGTCTTGGTCTTCTAGCCAGCCACGGCACTTCTCCAAACTCTCCTCTACTTCAACTCCTTCAAACTGCTCTCTGCTCCAACTCCTTCTCCTGGCTGATTGAAGCTGGGGGGTTTTATCAGGTGACTAGCTTTAGAAACCTTTCTTCCCTCTACAGGGAATAAGGCTTCTCCTCATCCTGGGACTTACATATTTCTCCTATATCACTCTCCTGCTGCCTTCTGGCCATGCTGTATCACATGACATTGAGTAGATCTTCAAGTCAAGACTGTAAATAGGCAAGATTCATAGCTCCTTCCACTGTCTCCATCTAACTTTCCCTCCTATTCTTCCCACACTGCTGCATCCACCAACTCTTCTTTCTCCTATTGTTCTTCCCCTTCCCTCTCTACCTGACCTAGCTTGGAGATGTGTCTGTGAAAAGGAATGTAGTCAAAGAGCGGCTGGGCTCAGGTGAACAAACTTTTAGCTTGGGGAACAAACTTTTGGCTGCTTTATCTTAAGTTTGAGACTAAACCAGCCTTGTCCAACCCCAGATTGAAAGGAGTAGGTCCTGCATCAAAGAGCAGGTTCCAAATCCAAGGATTGGGCCCTTGGGCTTCAGAGGGTTTATATCTGAATGGTTATAAAGTGTCTAAGGGAATGTCTACACTTCAATTAAATACCCCTGGCTGCCCCATGTCAGCTGACTTGAGGCTCGCTGGGCTCAGGCTAAGGGGCTGTTTAACGATGGTATAGATATTCAGCTTCAAGCTGGAGCCCAAGGACTGGGACCCTCCCACCTTGTGAGGTTCCAGACCCTGGGCTCCAGTCCAAGCCCTAACATCTATACAATTAAACAGACCCTTAGCCCAAGCCCCATAAGCCTGAGTCAGCTGACACAGGCCAGCCACGGGTTTTTAATTGGAATGTAGAAATGCCCTAAAATCCAATTATTATTAACTTCTGATTTGAGTTTTCAGTAATAAATTGTGAAATTGTTGAAAGTCATGCCACTGTTTTACATAACTGCCAAACAATTCCATTTAAACTGTAAATGGATGTTTGTGCATAATCTCTTGATCCACTTTCAGCCCAATACTCCCTTCTCTTCCTGCTTTCACTGAAATGCAGCCTCATCTGTGAACCAATATAGTGAACAGACTTCCCTTCCACACCAAATTATTCCATTCTAAAGCCTCATGATTGGCCCTTATATCTCTCTGCCATCATCAGCTACTCCATCTTCACGGGCTGTTTCCCTGTATTCAAAACCACTGTTATCACCCTTCTTTTTGAAAAACTCATCTTTTAACTTCTATCCGCTCTCCACCTTTTGGCTGATTTCAGTTAGGCATTTAACCTTTCACAGTACAGATATTGACCTTCTACAGGTGCTTAATGACCTACATCTCAGTATTGATCCCTTTCTCTTCTCATCTTACTTGAGCACTGTGCTACTTTCACACTATTGATCAGAGTAGCACTAAGCTGCTACTATTCTTGAGTACCTCTGGCATGGAGTCAAAAAGCAAAATTCTTTGTAGGTGCCACTTTTTATTGTATTGTCAGTGGATCCTGGCCATAAAACCAGTGTAGTCACCTCCCCAGAAATATTACCCAGTGCAAAAAAGGATTCTCTGATACCACAAAGACTCGTCAGCTGCCATTCCTTGCTTTTGACATAGGAGTCATGGCCAGATGTCCTTATGGTCTGCTGCTCTCCAGCTGCTAGTTCACACAGTTGGGGCTGTTAGAGCATCATGCGGTTGCTAAAGGAATTTCAGGGCATCAGCCTGGGGACCCAAGAATGGGAGTGCTAAGGTGACTCTTCTTTGAACAGCCCTCTGACTTCCATTGCATACTTCATGGATATCTGGTCCAGTATCTTCAGCATTCTCTCCTAGCTTGGTCTGATGTCAAACCACACGGTGGAAGCTTTACATCTTCCTCTTGTCTCCTCTGGTATAAGATGCCTCAAGGCTTTGCCTTTGGCTTTCTTCTGCATCTGGACATCTCACTCAAGTGGATAAAATATTAGTACTGCAAATGTATAATGGGGAACAATCCTCCACCACCACCACCAGGGAGGTGATCCAGATTATATCATCAGTCTTTTCCGTCTCTGCATTTTGTGAGCCCATTGATATTTTCAGCCTTGGAAACCATTTCTGTTTAGTCTAGCACCTGATACATTACCTCACTTCTATCCCTCTTAGGTTTTGGAGCAATCATCAGAAGGCAATCATAACTTCCTGATTACAAATGCCTCAAAGAATGAAGTTCCCCTCCTGTAGAAAAAGTCGCTTGACTCTGTCACAGTCTTTGATTCAGACATTAACTTTTGCTGTTGGGGCAGAAATTTACGACATCATTCTTGACAGTAAACATTTTTCTACATCTCGCTTGTGGTAATCTATCCTCTGCTGGAAACATGGTCATAAATAGCCTTGCTCTGCTGAAATCTTGTATTGGGTATGACAACCCCCTCTTAAGATCTTAAATTCCTAACTTCAGGAGGCTCAGACTAGTATATAGAAACAGGTTCTTATCATTTCTTTTGCAATTTCTCTGACTTCCTATATTTCCAAACCCACTCAAAAATTACTACTAAGCTGTGTGACGAATCCTCTTTAAATCTCTCCTTAAAGCCCCTCTCTTCTCCATTAGCTATGATTTAATCATGGGTATTTTTAGTAAAAGTCATGAACAGATCACAAGCAAAAAAACAAAAAATCACAGCCCATGACCTGTCCATGACTTATACCATAAATACCCCTGATTGAATCTGGGGAGGGCATTATGGGGTGGGAGCCCTGGGGGATCTGTGGCCCCTCAAGCTGCCACTGTGGGGGAGTCGCGGGGTCAGTCACTGCTCCCACCACTCCTGGAACCGCTGCTCAGGCAGTCCTCGGGGCCAGCTGTATCAGCCGCTGCTCGGGTGGTCCCTGGGGCCAGCTACCACCAGAGCCGTGGCTGGGGCAGTTGCAGCAGAAGCTGATGTGGCTGGCTGCAGAACCACTCCAGCAGCAGCCAGTGTGGCTGTCCCCAGGGCCACCTGAGCAGCTGGTCCTGGGGCCAGCCACGCTGGCCACTGCAGAAGTCTCAGAGGTTGCAGGAAGGCATGGAATCCGTGACTTCCGCAACTTCTGTGACAGACACAGAGTCCTAATTATGTGATCAAGTGTGCTTTTCGAAAACAGTTACTGTATTGCTCTAAGGCACAAGATGATGAATGAACTAAAAAGTACAAGAATTTTTGCCATTAAGTCTTGGTTATGGTTTAGGTTTTTTGTGGCCACATAACTTTTCTAATTTTCTAAAATTCAGAAGTACACTTTGTTCTTTCAGTCTGCAGCTACTTATCTTGTACTGATGTGGGTATGTGCCCTTGAGAATTTTAACTTGTTTAGGGGTTCAGTAATTTTATTAAGACATCAGATAACCAGGTTCAATCAGTTTATTAATCAAAGATAGATCAGCACAGTATACAAAGGCAAATGCATACCAATCTGGAGAACAGA